CACCAGTTAGTCAAGGAACCAACTAGAAACAATGCTATTTTAAAGTTATAGTTAACTTCAAATACAGATATGATTAAGATGGTGGGAAATTGGAAAACATCTGGGTGCAAGTGAACATTGCTCTATTAGGTTCAATGTTTTGTTGCATATGGAAATAAAGAATAATGATATTTTGGTTACAAATTTTGAAAAAAAAGCTCATTTTGAAGGGATGTGCGAGAGTTATTTGTTGTGAATTGGGCTGCTGAGTTATTTGGAAACACTGATCAGATGTGGAAAATTTTGAAAGATAAATTTCTAAATATTCAATGCAAACATATTCCTAATAGAAAGAAAAGGGTAGCTACAAATAAAAAACCAGGTTGGCTCACAAACAGTTTAAGAAATAAAATCAAAGAAAAGCATTATAAATTTAAGAAATTTAAATTGATTGGTATGACAGGAGAGTTTGAAGATTATAGAAGATCAAGAAAGTTGGTGAGACAGAAAATTTGGACATCAAAAAGGATGTACGAGAAAAAGTTGGATGAAAATGTAAAAATTAACAGCAGAAATTTCTATAAATATATTAAGAGGAAACAAAATGTTAGGATGGGGATAGGACCCTTGAGAAATTATAAAGGAAGGCTAGTATCTGATGATTATGAGATGGCTGGGTTATTAAATTTTACTTTTTACTAATGAAGATTTAAGCAGTATTCCACATCTTGATCAGTTGATAAATGGAAACGAGATTAAACAAAATGACTGCATTAATTCTGAGCTGGTTAAGAAAAAATTGGGAAGTTTAAAAACTGATAAGGCTCCTGGGCCAGATAATATTTCCCCAAGGGTTTTGAAGGAGGTTAAAAATTGAATATGTGAGCCACTTACTACTATTTTTTGTCAGTTCTTGAATAGTGAGTAGGTACCAGAGGACTGGAAGTTAGCTAATGTAACTCCTCTTTTCAATGGAGGTTATAAAAATTGTCCCAGTAATTATAGATCCATTAATAATTACATTAGTCATGGGAAACATTTTGGAAAGTCTGTTAATATATATGGTTTGCAAAGTCTTTTAACAAAGTTTAGAATTTTATTGGATAGTCAACATGGTTTCACTTACAAATCTTTTGATATTCTTTGAAAAGGTTACTACTTATGTAGATGAGGGTAAGGGTGTAGATTTGGTGTACCTGGATTTTCAGATAGCATTTGACAAGGTGCCACATAAAAAGCTTTTATAAAAAGTATCTCTATAGGTTTAGGGGACAAGTTAGTGAATTGGATAGAAGAGTGGCTGGATGAAAGAAAACAGAGGGTTGTTACAAATGGACTTCAGTCAAACTGGATTAATGTCACAAATGGGGTACCTCAGGTCTCAGTCTTAGGACTTTTGCTCTTTTTTGATTTACATCATGACATAGTTGAAGGAACAGTCAATAAATTACTTAAATTTTCAGATGATATTAAGGTCTTGGGTGTTGGTAGCTGATTTACAAAAGGATTTAGATCATTTAGTGACTTGGGCAAATTAATGACAGATGGATTTTAATTATAATAAATGCAAAAGAATGCATGTGGGTTATCATAATTTGAATTATAAGTATGATTTGGATGGGAATAACCTTAATAGTGTTATGAAGGAAAGGGATCTTGGTGTAACAGTCAATCAGTATCTAAAGCCATCCAAGTAATGTGCTGTTGCTAGTGGTAGGGTAAATAGGACTTTAGGTTGTATCTATAGAAATATTGAATACAAGTTTAAA